ACATGAGACTCTAGGCTCCAGTATGGACTGTGTGTGTTGACCTGCTGAGTCCCTGAACATATTATGACATGGAATTGATGAAAATGACTTTTTTTCCCTTTGTCATTTTTACACAGATGAAAATGCAGACTGCAGAATTTTACTGTAATTTAGGATTGAAAAGCCCCTCCTATACAATGGGTGATATTTTTCTGAGGAAAACACTAATTGTATTTTGTATGCTTTTTTCAACAATTCTGAAATGAAGCAACCATGGTTACTGTACAATGGAAGGACAATTCTCTTTTGTGCTAAAGAGGCAAACACAGCTGCTGTGAGGAATAATAAGCATGTGTAATCTATTGTTGCTTCAATGAAGAAGCAACCACAGTATTTTCAGCAGTAATAGATACGTCAAACATAAAAAGAGAAGCCTTACTTTAAGGAAACAATTTTTAATATAAATTTGTTCTGTCCCTCTGGGTCATTAATTTTAATGAGTACAATTTTGGCTTGAATGCACACAGCATCTTGATAATTTACAACCACCCTTCTGCATACACTGGGATTGAGAGCTCATCATAAAAACAGTAACAGCAACTACATGAAAAGAAAGTCTAGGGGCTCCTCAGTTGCTCCTGCAGTGAAGAGACTTGAGGTGTTTGGCCCAGATGTCGTTGGCTGAGCCTGATTTATGCCACCAGCTAACTGTATGCGTGTTTCACTTGCAGGGAAACTGAGCCCCTCTGGGTGGGCCAACGGGCTCCTGTGCTTTTCTGGATGACTCCCCTGAAAGGCACTTTGGAGCTCACAGCCCGTCGGGAAGGTCAATGTCTAAGACAGGTGAGTGTGTTTGGGGAAAAGTGAAAGTTAGTTTTCTCCCTGTGCTGTACAGGGACTGCAACCATGAAGATGAATGTTTTACGGTGTTAAATCCCAAATGTGGGCCTAATACAAACACAACAATATACTTTTCATTCTGAACAGAAATAAATTATAGGTGATGTATAATTACATTTTTGGCTTTGCTCCTCTGCGTGACCCCATTACAGACTGTGTCACATGCAACTCTGATACTGGTATGAATGGGGATCTGCTGAAACAAACAGAAGGCTTACCTGAATGATCCACCCTGGTATTCTTCTGGAAGCAGTTTTCCATCTCGAGCCTTTTGGGCCAGAGCCTGAGGAAACCCGAACAACACCTTTATGACTGTGGTGTTAGAGACAATGCAGTGATACAGACCAGAAATACACTCACTACAGCAGTACATAATGTTCACAAAAAATTAAAGTCAACCTGTTATTAAACTATTATTAAGTGAACATTCTTTACAAAGTGCCCTTTCATGTGTGTGATTTTTAAGACATTTGTATTTTAAACATAACTGACAGGTACATGTTGTACTTATTATACACATTCCCACACACATCTCAGAATAATGACTAAAACTTGGGCTAAATATTGCAATGTGTTTTTGCATTGTGGTTTTTTCTCAGCCTTGAGGAAATGGATGGTAGGAGGTCATGCTGTGTACCTATTTAGATACAGAAAAAGTAATAATACATTTCAAACAAGTCTATTCTGGATGATTTGGTTTGAGCTGAAGTCAGAGGTATTTTGCAAAAGCACCACAAACCCACAATATGAAAGACATCTAAGAGCAAAGCCCAGGTCAAACCCCAAAAGGAATTCAAGGTTAAATAAGCACACAGCCACTTCCTCAAGCAACCAAACCTTTCAGTGAGCCTCACTGCACTGAAGAAAGAAAGCAAGAAATAAGAGTACATGTGAATGTTCATAGGTTACCCCTGAGATTATTTCCATTTCCAAGGGACTGACGAGATTGTAACAGCAGGTAAAAAACAGTACAAAAATAGATCACCACTGGTAGAGGTCAGCAGAAAACAGAAGAAAATCCAAAATAAGTGATAAGTGTATCAATTAAAAATGGTAGACAAAAGCCCAGCTCAGCACTATGTTGTATCATGATCTAGCAATCATCACCTTTCTGTTTTCTGTCCTATTGCAGGAACGTCTGATGTGCAAATTGCAATGGTTCTGCTCAGAACATGCTACTTTTTCAGGTCTCTAATTTTCACAAAAAATATTTCATGCAAACCTTGACATCACAGTGGGTCAGGGGTGTTACAGTGACACAATATAGAGCCTTCCAAGTGGCTCAATCGATTAAGGTGCTCACAGAACCACAATCGGAGCTCTATGACCATGTGTTTGAGCCTGGGACAAGCCACTTGCTGCCACATGTCGTTTTAATTTCATTGATAAAATGCAGTTCGTCATGTGCATAGAGATCTTACAAACGCCAATCTGTCCTCCCAGTTGTTTCCTTGCTTTTTCAGCGTATCAGTTATTTTTTACAGAAAGATCAACTCTTACTTTATACAGCACATAAAAAATTACATCCATTGTAGAATGAGAGTAAACATTTAGATAGGAGAATACATAAGTTTGTTATGTAACTTCAAATACTGTTAACATTCAAATTAAATTAGCAAGTCATACTATTTAACAGTTCTAAATATAGATTCAAAGGCAGGTTGAAAGGACAGAAATGAATGTTGAAAGCAGTCATCTCTGCTGATCTCAAGTGAGAACTTGTCACAAGAGATTTTGATACCGATACTGATTTTTAGTGTAGTTAACAAAATCCCCCCTTTTCCTTGGTCTTTCAGATTTATATATATAATTGCTAAGTAATTAGCTATGATATTTTTATGTATTTTAGATTTCTGGTCAGTTATTGGTATATCAGAAGACACACTGACATTATTCATCTATGGTAGAGTTTGAGGGTAGTGTGGAAAAGTAGTAGTTTGTTTGTACATTGTCTTGATGCACTGTTTGCACTTTGTCTTGTTTTTTACACTTGTTTTACAATCGAGAGACTCTCTGTAAGTAAGAATTCCATTGTACCAGTACCGGTTACATATGGCAATAAAGTTCAAGTTCAAGTTCAAGTAGTTCGTACTCTGGATTCCAGACTGCAGGGTTTTTAAGTTTAGTGTTGGGGACTGCTCTAACGTTCCTCCACCATCGATAACACGTCTCTGCAATACTTAGTGACTCTGGTGATCCAGCATAGCAGCAAAAGAACAAGTAAAGGTTCCTCTGCAGCCTACGCATGCTGATGCAGCTCTCTACTCGAACTACTTCAGTGTTGCTGTGGTTACTTATGCCATCATTCTCTCTATATACTCTCAGAACATGCCTGGATACACGTCTGTTAAATTATCTTGTTTATTCATGATTTTTTTCTCATGACTTGACGTGGTGAGGCACATGCAGCAGTAACTCAGCCTCTGTGAGCTGGGGATGGCTACCACACTGCCTACCGGAAGAGCCAGGAGGCAGTCAGCGGACGAAAGTAATGCGAAGAGGCAGGCGGGGCCGGTCTCTCACAATGCCCTGGATCTGGACAGATTGAGGATGTCGTGCACGCCTTATCGTACGGTTTCCTGCCTGCAGCCACGCTGCCTGCTGCGCCCGTGACCCCCAGTCACTGCTAACCGGGATTTTTTTAATAAACGCACACAGGCAGTGCCAGTCTGAATGGTCTAAATGACATAAAAAAACAGGTTTTGAGTCTTTCTTGTACAAAGGCGAGAGAAACACTTCAAATAAATCAGATCTATTCTATTGATCATGCAATCCATTTTCTTTTTTTTTTTGTTTATGTAACTTTATGTAACCCCGGTAAACAAGCTAATTAACAACTGCCAATTCCAAAATGGGAGGTTAATAAAGTAACAGAGAGCTTCAGGTATTACAGGTGACTTCAGACTAGTGTGTCTCCGCAGTGTTTTAGACAGAGCTTACATTTCATGAATGCCTTCATAACCACAGTACAGAGTGAAACTCTACAAAAAAAAAGGAATATAAAAACACAAATAGTTTTTAATTTAGTTATTAAGAAGTTCGCCTTTTACTCACTTACAGCTGTTTGCCATGAAGGATCTACGGATATACTGACCTAAAAGCATTGCCTTGTGTCCGAGTCTCACTGTGCTTCATCAGCAGGGCCCTGAGCTGGTGTTTAGATTACAGGGCTTTCCTCCCATGGGAAAGTGCCAGGTAATCCAGACAGCCACAGCTCCTACAGACAGACGGGCACCGCCTTTGTTACAAAGTTCTCACAACTAACTGTGGACTGCAACAAGTAGATTGGTTAATTACTCCACAGACCATTGCATGTGAATTTAAAT